CGACCGAGCCATTCGTTGACCGGATTTCGCAGGTACATAAGCGTTAGAGAACCGGTTATACTGGAATCCCAGCGAATAGTAAACTTCTGTCTGGTCTTTCAACCGATGGTTATGTGGAATTCACTTTTAATCCTAGCTTTCCATTACGTTGATTACGCGATTTCAAATTCCGGTCTTTGTGCATCCGGAAAAAAATTGAATATGGAGAATGAAACATCTTTTTAAGTCTTACAATCATGATTCTGTTCTTCATGAAAATTCAAAGTATAATGATCTGTAAATTGACACGGAGTCAGACGTTTGATTATTGAACTGTAGGACAGTAGCTGTTTTAGATAGTAATACAAATTAAATCACTGGCCTGTGCAAACCAACGGGTTTGATAAATGCAATCGATTTAAAAGGTAAACGATTTCAGTGATCCTTCCCTCATTTTGTTAAGCACCGAGTAAGTGGCGAGTATATTTAGATATCTCTGTGGCAACAAATAGACTCGCTGGCTGCGGTTGCAGTTAAATAAAGATGTGCCGACTGTCATGCGAATCTCTACTAAACTCTCCTACTATCGCCGGTAATAAAATCGCATTCAAGATCCAAGTGGATATATCTCGAGAGCGGATATCTCACGCTCGACCTTATCTTTGCACAACATATTGGCATTTGCACTTAATTTTCCCCATACATTAAAAACGTCATTTATCATACTTGATTGCCGTCTACAAACTAAGATTAGGAATCGAATAAAAAGATGTTGCCTGTGAGATTTGCATTCCATCAGTTAATGCAATTTTTATGTGTCTAATGCAATTAATATCTTATTGGAAATGACAGTTCTTATTGATTCACCTTGTATACACTTGAATAGATGATCAGCCACACGTGGATTATTTGCCGGTATAAATACCGATTGTGTCACTGGAAGCTACGACTAATGATCTCACGACTGGCTTCCGAGAAACAAATTTGTGGACTCGTTATCGACCGGATCAGGCTCGGAATTAGCTTCTCGATAACAACAAACATTTACTCACATTCGTATTTATTGCAATGCATTTTTATTCGATTTCCTCAATTATATTTTCATTCACATTAGATCGATTTATATTCTTCTTTGTTTCAAATCTCTTTGTGTCTGAAACAGTTCCCTAAACCAGCTTATGTGTATACTCTTACCATATGTTATTTCTCATTCGAATTTCAAATCGAACTAGTTTTACGTAATACCGCGCGCGGTGAATCCTTAATACCGAGTGGCTAGTTCTCTTTTTACCGTCGATGAAAATTTCGACGAGTGGAACAAGACATTCTAAAATCTCGTTTCAGACCGCCGGTAATCCGCTTGAATGATTAAGATTCTCGTTACCGCGAACCACGAACCGGTATCGATTCCACGTGAAAACAATTCCATTGCACGTTTCTTTAAGCTTTAATGATACCAATAAGTATCTCGTGTTCCTCCAGTCGAGGGATATAGATAAAATTCTGCTTGTTGTGAAACGTTAAGAATTCGATATCCGGAATGCTTGATGGACAAATACTGATTCTAATCATAATCTCAAAAACTTTCTTTGTATCGATAAGTTAATTTCTAGAATTGAAGCTTAAGTCTTCTCTATAATGAGAAACGCAAATTCTTTTAACGACGTATGTGCAACTTACATCGATGGGAAAATCCAAATTCTTTTATAGTCTCAGGAGTCTATTAGACCGACGATTATTCCAGAGAATAAAACTAAAGAATTTGTCGTCCTCATTATGACAAACGTGCGAATTCGTGTTGGGTGAATTAGAACCGCAAATTCTTCTGAAAAGCGACCGTGTAACTCGTCTCGTTGTATAGTGAACGTATTTGGTCCGGTACTGTAAAGTAAAACGTTTTACACGCTGGCCACCTTCTACTTATCTAGAGTTCTCAACCTTGACGAGTCTCAACACTTTCCAGCAATTAACAGTCCGCTATGATGGGTCACGTGTGGTTGTGTAATTACTTTGTAACGGTGTCACAATGCCTATGCTATGTATAGGCCATTTGTACAAACGTGATTCCACTATGCTGTCCAAAATAGTTTTCAAATTCCTTTCGATATCGTTACGCAGAAGATGAATCAGTAAGAAGTATACGATAATCTGATGTTTGATCATTTAATTAAAGATCATTTAAGAAAAGATCATTGAAGCTTGTAAATTAAAATGTATTTTAGTCCCACTTCGTAAAGTCTAACTCATCTTGGCAAAATTCTTGTTCAAGTGTAATTGCATATCTGATAGAATATTCTTGATTCTATTTTTATTACAGAACAAGTTTTATTCATATTTTATTGAATCTTCTTGAATGAAAACGTTGTTACGTTCTACCAAAAGAGTGTTTCTGTTAGCGACACGAAATCATTACGCGTATTAGTCACCGTAAACAGAATAAATAAGTTGCCTTAAACAATTTCAATTGACATTGACTTAATCTTATCGACAACCTAGACAGGACTCCGTCACAGTATTTTTAGAACTCCCGCACGGCCGACCAACTATACAAAATTCCACTGTACAACATTAATTCATGAACAACGGTATTCAACAAGTGCATAAAAAGTCAAACGTGTGTAAATAGAAGACCCACTGCAGCTATACGTTGCAGAAATGCATAAAACAATTAATGTGAGCCTGACACTATGAAATTACACAAATTAAAATGAACATGGAACATCGTATATACACTCGGCTTATCCAAAATTCTTGTGGACAACGCAGACTGGAATCTGTCGGGTAGTCACCGCGTCGCATTAATTCGCAACGGTGTCCGCAGCTTGTTGCGGTTCAGTTGCCAGTGAATCGAAACATTTAGCCGTCGCGGATATTGAGGTCAGTGGTTTGTTCATCCTATCGTTAATGACGATTCCAGTGTCGAGACACACAGCTTCGTGAGCAGGCAGCAGCGAGCGATTCTACTTGCGTAACGTCGCGGCAACGGAGAGCCTCTGGCCCGTTTTCTGCGCCCCGGCCCATTATAATTTATACAGTTTTCGCAATATATTTCTCCTGCCCGGGTATTTCGCTTGCTCGACGCGTTTTCGACTTTTCGTTTTGCAAGCCAGGTAGCGTGAAACTCAATAGTATCCTTCGATGCACCGTACGTTCATGTTCAAAAATATTGACAGTGTACTCCTGCCGGGTCGCATAAATGACATATTGACAGGAATGCGCCGAGATGCGTCGACGGTATTATTGATTTATCAAAATTAATAGCTGATTCTTTTGAGACTTCAACTGGTAAAATATTGACAGTATCGTTCAGGTTGTAAGATCCGAAATCTCTTTTTTATTTCTCGAACCGTTCTTCAGTAGGCAGTTCCATTCGATACTTGCCTCGAGTCTCAAGGTATGTATAAAACATTAGCTGCTAAGGCAAACGTAATCTCTGTATCTGCTCAAGGCTAATATTTATTTCCGTTCGACATTTCCCTGACACGATCTGCAAAGACAGATCTTGACGTATCCTGCGGGCAGGAAGGGCGGACAGAACAATAAGGCGGCTGGGCTCTCGTCTCTGTGTACAAATCGGCTCTGATACCGATGATAAATGACGACATCCATTCAAGTCCGCTCTCGATTGGCCTTGGCGGGAATTCTCTCGCGCCGGCCGAGTTGCATTGAAAGCGAAATTCAACGGGTTACCAAACCTCCGCGCCATCGCATCGTCACCACTCGATGGTACAGCGACAACGTCCCCGGTGGTCGCTGGGTTTCAGGGACGTAATTAATCATCGGCGACACCCATGGTCGTACATGTAAATAACTATCGCTTCCTTTATCCATGCTCTTCCGCCTCTGTTTTTCTCGTTTCCGTCAAATATGATACAGTCAGGACAGGGTTCAGAGATCAGACGAAGTTTGCAGGCAAGGAGGTGTTCGGCATATTTGAATTGTACAGAAAACAGAAGACTGGGTATCTATTCTGTATCTGACTTTAAATAACGTTGGCATAGAAATACATTTCCTAATGAAAGGTGTACTTTTTTGTCATACATAAAAATTCTTCGACTCCGAGGAATCGGGTTTCGGTTCCAAGGTTGAGAACGTTTCACGTTTTTTAGTGAATAGTAAGCGACGCGTGCCAATTCGATCGGCAAGGGAGGAGTTTTGGCTGAGATCTCAGGTGAAATTCGTGGCAGGGGCACGGTGGTCATCGTCGCCAGTGGTTCAAGGCCGTTGCCGTTTCATGGTCGTCGGTGTTGCGTGTATACGAGACCCGTGTAATCCATAACAAAACCGATGTGGCCACTTTCGCAAGCGAAAGTACTACGCGGTGAATAATTCGGATCTCTCGGTTTGGGCGTCGCGCGCACGAAATCGCTTCTAATTCAATGCCGCAGCCGAAAATCATGACACAAATCGGCATCATTTATGTAACCGGTCAGTCTTCTACCTCGACGTTAAGTAACACGCCCTCGTTCCACGCGTGGAACAAAAGAAACGGTCTCAGTCAACTATGATTTCCTCTCCGGTTCACTTATATCTATGCTTCTATTATCAACTTATTTTCCATGTTTCAAATCTTATCAATAAAATCAGTCTAGAACTCTTATCAGTTTTAATTATACAACGTGATTAAACAGTTCCAAAATACGAATCCAATCAGCTGATTTCGTCTGTGATTAATTTATACCCTCTTATTCTCAACTTAATTTCCATATGTCAAATCGTATAAAAACGTTATCAATAGAATCAGTCTGAAACTTTTATCAGTTTTAAGCGTGCAATGTAACTAGGCACTTCAAAAAATAAAAATAATAGATGGATGCAATCAGCTGATTTGCTCTCCGATTAATTTACATTCTCATTCCCAGTTTCCATTTTCAAAACCTGTCGATAGGAATAATCGTATCAGTTTTAAGTGGTCAGCCACTTCTAAAAGTAAAAGTAGTTCAGATATTTCTAAGTCAATTATCTACAATTAATTTTTTATACCAGGAATAATGATAGATTTGGTTGTTTTATCGTTTCAGGAACCTGCTCGTGGAAACCTACAGTCTTGAATCTTGACGTCAAGAGCAACAAGCCAAAAAAATGTCGATTGTAATGCAGTACGTGGACCGGCTCCACGAAATACTTGACAAACATGCAGGTAGGCTACGTAAACATCTTTTGTGACCAACTACCAAACATTGGGAAATATCTCAGGAACGATCTCATTGACCAGAAGGCAGTTTCATTCTTATGTTTTTTAGTCTTCCCGTTGATTATTTTTGGTCAGGGAATTTAAATAATAGAACGATTTTCCCGATTCTGCAATGCACACCAGAGTTACGAAGGACGGGAAATCATTTAATGTTTGCCCAAATTCATCGAACATGTTTAAACGCAAAATTCACAGGTTGACAAACATTTTGCAATCTGCATTTGGGTCAAGCACAAAGCGTCGCGCTACATTTAACATTAATCGTTAATAATTGCTAGCCATTAAACGAATAGAAAAAACTGCGTTTGACGTTGATCGCGTTATACAAAGTCGATCGCATTTAAACTGACTTTAATAACGCATTTTTCATGGAAAACAATTAGCTACGATTTGCTATGGGTAAAAAAAGGAACGTACGACCGGTGCAAAGTCGAATGGTATTGAATCAAATGTCAAGCTTCCTGATAGCATTATAGCAATTGTTAGCGGAAATGAATTGAAGAACGAACAGGAAGGCCTTGTACGTTGCCCTTTGACTTAATTACCGCGCTGAAATTTTGTATACGCTTAATCGGTGTATCGCTAATCATCAAAAAAAACATCTGCTAAAAACAATCATTTCCACAAAGATTGAAAGTTAAATTATACATGCGAAGTATTGATTGGCCATATCCGATTTATTTAGATCAGAAGCTGAAAAAAAAGCATGATGGAATGAAAATGAATATTTGCGCAATATATCTTGCGTTACTAACACGAATACCCGCGTATTGGACGAAACGAGATTTATATGGATGTGAATATGGTAACATTGCAAAAGATCGGTGACAGGGAATTCCAGAATTCCATACGTCGCGTTGCGTCGTTTCTCCCCACGCTACCAAATCTGGTTTCAACTATTTCTAAACGTTTTAAATAAATGCAATTATTAAATGTCTTATACTGTTTCACTGTAACTTATTGCAAGAGATTATTTATTTATTTCGCCATTTATAATTCACAATATTTCTTTTATCATTTTTATGCCACATGTATATTACGTGCATAATTTTCGTTGCAAGAAATTATAATATATCGATATGTAGATAAAAGCATTCCAATGCGGTTTGAAATGCTTGCAAACGGGGAAGCGGCGAATATCGGAGACTTCGATGAGTGTACAAGCATAAAGAAAGGGTGGAATTACGTGGAATTTGATTGCGGTTAGCGAACGTCACTCGTGCAGTGGGTAGCCACATCGAAAATGAATTATTCATCGTACGTTGCCGCGGGATGTAGCGGCCGCGTCGCTATTCAACAAACTTTTTAAACTTGTTAAACGTGCGAACGTGAAACGTAGAAACGTCCGGGTCTCCGATACGAAACTGATCTCTGGCTTTTTGGACTGAAATCTGAAAATAAGACACGTGCGAAGGACGGTCAACATGGAATTAATGAAACGGAATTCAGAAGTGGTTTTAATGCGATGAAGCAGCAGTTGTTTGAACTTCCGATGGTCGCGAAAGGTGAGGAAGAGGAGACCTCAAGGTCGAGGTCGGACTTTTACCCGTCGCTCTGCGAAGGCTAATGAACCGACCAAATTCCATCGTAATGATTACTTTTCATTTATGCACATATAACGCGTGTATGATAATCTGCGTCCTACTTCTTCGATATTTTAATACAAATTGTATTTCGAAGTTTTACATTTTTAACTTTACTACTAGAGGCTCGTTTTGATGTCTGTTCTAGATCAGAGAACAACAAACTGGTTTATGATGAGTTCGCCGTTTCCCACCCTATTCATCTGCCTGAGCTACGTGTATGTGGTTAAAGTCTTAGGCCCGAAGTGGATGGAGAACAGGAAGCCGTTCCAACTGCAGAACGCCCTAATAATGTACAATCTATTCCAAATCATATTCTCCGCGTGGCTCTTCTACGAGGTAACGTTCCTCTTCCTTCGTGTTTCTCCTCTCTTTCTCTTTCTCTCTCTTTTCTGTCTGCTTGTACAATTTTCGTTTCGAATACCTGTTGTCTGAACAGATATGTATTTCTCGTTTGTATGTGTGAATAAGATCAAGCACCCCTTCGACGAACGTTCAGAGATACTCGATATTATTTGTCAGTTCTTTGTTTCCTTTGCGAGAACGCTCTGCTTTTATTAACACTGAACGTTCGCCAAACAGAATGCTGCTTTAGAAAATCACGAGTCGTCTCGTGAAAAACGTCGGACGTTCTCGATTTCCGCGAAAAGCGTCGAACGTCCGGCCGAGTCATCATCGAGTTCGAAATCACGTGTATCAATGACGCTGGTTAATTAGTATTTGCGAAACGCTGTAAACGCGTACGTGATCCTTTTCTCAAGCGACTCCGCCGGAGAGGGTTGCGATCGGCTTCGACCTTCGGAAATCTAGTCGATCGATCAAGGAAACTAGTTCCGTTGGAAAATGTCTCGAAAGGTATCGCGGCCTTGCGCCGCTTAAAAATGAATGTAACTTTAATTGTAGACCGCGACCGAATTCATTCTCAGCCATTTCGAACTCGATTGCGACAGTATTTAGATCGAGTCATTAATCTTGAAAACGAAAATAAAAAACAGAGTCTGATGGGTGGATGGTGGGGCCATTATAGCTTCCGTTGCCAGCCCGTGGATTATAGCAACAATCCGACCGCGATTAGGGTAAGTTCTCTTGTTCACAATTTCTCTTACAGATCCCGGACCGATCGACCGCCAACGAGACGGACCCACAACCAATGCCAAATTTCATTTGTATGCGTATGCATTGTTTCAAAAAGAAGACTTCGTCAAAAAATGTGGTGTCTTTTTTAAATAGAACATGCGCATATACCTTGACGATTAAATTTTTGAAAGGTACCGGATTAGAGACGACTGTATTACGCTTTGGAAACCAGAAGGGGAGAAACCTGCCTATTGGAGAAAATACGCTTATGGGTTTCCTTTTACAGTTATTTTGTGTGTGAATTTACTGCTTTTGGTTACTATCGTAGTCTCTGTGTATCTATCTGTGCTACTTTGTATTCTGGAACGTGTGCATGAAAATGGAACGCTTGGCTAGATACTTTCCTCTTGAAATTGACAATATTAAATAAAATGAAAACGATTCGACCTCGTCGATCCTTTCTGTTTCATTTATATATTTCTTGATTGGAGAATGGCCTTTGGGCGGTTGTGGTTGCAGATAGGAATGTCCGGATGGCTGACTGGCGACTATTCTCTAAGGTGCCAACCCGTAGACTACAGCGATCGACCCCAAGTACTAAGGGTGGGTGATAATTCCCCATTAACACGGAAATGTTACACTAAAACAAACACACATTTTCTACACTTCAGTGTACTTAACGTTTTCAAAAATAAGATCTCACTCTTACGTCACATCGGTAAAACTCGTGACACAATTATGTTACATGCGTAACGAACATCCACTCAACTACACCCCTGTCGCTACTGTACTAAGTATCATCCAGTAGTGTTTGAGAAAATCGTAGTTAACACGTTAAATGCGGTGTCGGTCCCCAGGGACCGACAATGAACTTTCCGTTCAAGCTGCATCGGTTCTTTGGGACTGACAGTGAACTTCTCGTTCAGACGGCCGACGTCGTTCCCAGGAACTGGCAGTATCAAAATTAAGAAATAAATAATATAGTTTTAATGAATGTATTAAAACATTCTAAGCAAAGATATGGTTTGACTTTCCACGTATTACCGTCAAATGTTTTTACTGTGCATTACTATAGTCCAACCGGAAAGTGAAAGAGAATCGTCACTCCGATACATGTTTTATACTATGTAACATTATAACGCCGAAACACGACGCGTCGTCTGAACAGAAAGCTCAGGAAAATTGGTTTCGCGTCTAACGTGTTAATTGGTACACTAACATTTCGGAATAGCCGCTTCTCGCAATTAACAACAGTAACAAGTAAAACACCGTGAAGACAGACACAGAAAACGCTTATCCGACGACAAATTACACCACTTACAGATTATACTATCGATACAGATAGCTGTTACCGAAAGAACACAGATTGCTGCATAAATTAAAATTTTACGTCGACAATCTAATATCTACAGCAAATCTTTGGGGTATCGTCGGGATTTTTCCAACTGAATATGTAAATGCGTATAATAGACGTCAATCTCGGCGTGCACTTTTTATGTTGCATGAAAATCCGAAGTTGAACTATCGCGATTTCTTGGAAAGAGAACTGTTTTACTTCCGAAGATTTGCTTAGTCCGTAACTTGAACGAAACGTGTTCGGGATGATAGTTTAACTGTTATTTTGCAAAGTGCAGATGGTGCACGCTTGTTGGTGGTACTACTTCTCGAAATTTACGGAGTTCATGGACACGGTGAGTAAACCGGAACGTTTTCAGTCGCTCAACGTTGGAAATTCCGTTACCCACAATTTTTCCATCGTTCACCGTTGTTTGTAGATCTTCTTCATATTGAGGAAGAAGAATAATCACGTGTCGACGTTGCACGTTATTCATCACGGTTGCATGCCAATGTCAGTGTGGTTCGGCGTTAAATTCACACCCGGTAAGCTTAGCTCTCTTATCCATTCGAACCGCACAGATTCTTATTGTGACGGAAATCTAAATAAAATGCGTATATCTAACATTGCGTTTTTGTTTTATTTTCCAGGCGGGCACTCGACGTTCTTCGGGCTCCTGAACACGTTCGTTCACATCGTGATGTACACGTACTACATGCTGGCAGCGATGGGCCCGAAGCTACACCCGTACCTCTGGTGGAAGAAATACCTTACCGTCTTCCAAATGATCCAGTTCATCGCGGTGATGATCCACGCGTTCCAACTTCTGTTCATCAACTGCAACTACCCGAAGGCGTTCGTCTGGTGGATCGGCCTGCACGCGACCATGTTCTTCTTCCTGTTCAACGAGTTCTACCAGCAGAGCTACCAGCAGCAGAAGAAGAGGAGACTGATCACGAACGGCGTGAAGAAAGACCACGAGCAGAGGAACAGCGATCACGCATTGACGAACGGCGTTACGAACGGCGGCGCCGCGGTTACCACCAGCAACTCGGGTAGAAGGGACGCGGCTGATTATTACGTGAAAGGCGACAGTCTGGCCGCGTCGGAGTTGAATCTACGAAAATCATATACAACGGCCGAGTGACCCGACCGTGCCACGTCGTAGTCATTCATCAAATTCATCTCGTCTTTCACCATCGATCCTACGAGTTGCATCCGGGCTTCGTTTCCTCTTCGCTCTCCCGGTCCTTCGTGACACGGCGGAGGGAACATTGAGTACAAAATTACCTCGTGCCGCGTAGACCACGCGCGTATTCATAGAAGTGGAGTAGAAAGAGAGTGAGAGAGTGAAAGAGAGAGACAGAGAGCGATGGAACGTACGAAAGTACACCCGGATATATCGCGACTCAATGTCACGGATCCTGACATCGCGGTTTAGGTATTCATCATACACTCTGGCTCGCTGTACGTACACCTGCCAGACGAGCTGGGCTCCTGCTAATTTCGAAGGAGTCGAGCTTTTCATTTGAACAACGAAGACTAGATATTCGGCAACTGCCTCAGAGTGCGCGGGCTATGGTAGGCGAGAAAGCGAGAGAAACAAAGTTTAGCCGCGCCGCGCCGTTGGTCTAAATTGTATTCCACACGAACACCAGACCGATTGCATCGATAACGATCACGGTACGAGTAGGTACAGGTGGAATTACGTAAAAACTTGAACGTACGGTTCGCATCGTCGTCGTTACGTTACGCGTTCACGGTGCGACTCGTAGACGTATTACGATACTCGCCGGTAATCGAGGAATAATCGTTTTTTATCGACCATGGTGAAATTTGCGGAGTTTCCGCAAACCGCGGATAAAAAGGACTCTCACCTCTGTGAAATTCCCC